AGAGAGAGAGAGAGAGAGAGAGAGAGAGAGAGAGAGAGAGAGAGAGAGAGAGAGAGAATATGCAAAAAGGTTTGAACAGTCTTTGCAACGCTCTGGCAGACAGGCGGCGGACGGGCGGACGGCGCGAGGACGCCCTCGAGCGCACTCGGGGGACGCCGAGGGTTTGGCAGCCCTCTGCCGACGACGACTCGGGGGTGGGTCGAGGCCCACTCCACTACTCCACGAGCTGACAGTCAGTCCAGTCCAGGCGAGTCCGGCAGACAGTGCGGTCCGGTCACCAGTGAGCTGCGGTCGGAGTGAGCTGCAGAATCACAACGGCATGTACTCTTATCTAATCGAATGCAAGAAGATTGCATGCGCTAATAAGTAAGCAATGAGTCAAATTTTTACATTTCCTATCTGTTTATTTACAGAAATCTACGATTACAAATTTGGTCGACAAGTGTAGTGTGCGTAGTGAAATTCGGTGGTACCACTCGCTACCCACACAGGAAATGTCCTTCGAATGTTCTGTGTGCGACAAGAAATTTACCACACGCCAGAGGCACCGCATACATTTCCGGACGCACACAGGTGAAAAGCCCTACGAGTGTGCATTGTGCAGCAAGAAATTTGCTCAAGATAGTGGTCTCCGAGCACATCTCCGAACCCACACAGGGGAAAAGCCCTACGAGTGTTCATTGTGCAGCAAGAAATTTGCTCTAAGTGGTGCTCTCCGTGGACATCTCCGAACGCACTCAGGAGAAAAGCCCTATAGTTGTTTCGAATGCAAAAGGAAATTTGCGAGCAGAAGAAATCTCTATAGACATCTTGTTGCGCATTTAGTCAATAGGCGCTTCCAGTGTTCTGTTTGCAACAAGGAGTTTGCGCGAGATGACTATCTCCGGAAACATTTCCAAATAACCCACACGGACAGAGGGAAAAATTACCGCCACGAGTGTTCTTTGTGCCACAAGAAATTCGAAACACCTACTTATCTCCGTATACATTTCCGGACGCACACAGGCGAAAAGCCCTTCGAGTGTTCTTTGTGCAGCAAGAAATTTGCACAAAGTGGTAGTCTCCAATCACATCTCCGAACACATACGGGGGAAAAGCCATTCGAGTGTTCTGTGTGCAACAAGAAATTTTCAGAAAAAAGACATCTCCGTGTGCATCTCCCAACGCACACCGGAGAAAGAAACTACGAGTGTTCTGTGTGCAGTAAGCGATTTCTGCGTCGTGAAACTCTTACGGAACATCGCCGAACGCACGCAGAAGGAAACCCTTTCGAATGTCCTGTCTGCAACCAGAAGTTTAAGCAAAATAGTTACCTACGTAGACACCTCCTAAGACACACAGGTGAAAAGCGATATGAGTGTTCTGTTTGCAACAAGAAATTTACGCAAAGTGGTGGTCTTACCGCTCATTTCCGACTACACACAGGGAAAACGCCTTTCGAGTGTTCTGTATGCAACAAGAAATTTGTGGCATCTAGTGGCCTCCGCTCACATCTCCAGACGCATACACGAGTGAAAGAGCCTTTTGATTTGTGTGTTCAACAAGAAATTTACGCCAAACTGGGCTCTCTAAAGACAGCTTAAAATACGCGGAAGTTAGTCAGTCGTTTGGACATGTAATTAATACACTAAAACCGAGGGGTGCCGAACTGAGGTAATCAGGTGTACACAGAGTAGGTAATCCCTGGTAATCACCAGTAATCATTGGTAATCACCAGTAATCATTGGTAATCGCCAGTAATCCTTGGTAATCGTCGGTAATCCTTGGTAATCGCCGGTAATCCTTGGTAATCTTCGGTAATCCAGGGTAATCACCGGTAATCCAGGGTAATCACTATGTAATCGTTGGTAATCACCAGGTAATCGTCGGTAATCACCAGGTAATCTTTGGTAACCACTAAGTAATCCAGCAAGGAAATTCCTGGAAATCTTTGGTAATCACTGGTAATCTTTGGTGATCACTGGTAATCTTTGGTAATCACAGGTAATCTTTGGGAATCACTGGTAATCTTTGGGAATCACTGGTAATCTGTGGTAATCAATGGTAATCTTTGGTAATCTCTGGTAATCTTTTGTCAGTGGTAATCTTCGGAAACCCTTGGTAATCATAGGTAATCGTCGGTAATCCTCGGTAATCTCTGGTAATCCTTGTTAATCATCGCTTTTTGGTAATCAGGTGTACACGATTTTTTCGAGTTGGGCACCCCTCGACTAAAACACTCATAAACCACCGTGATATTATTAAAATGTATGCATCTCCTTGTACTCAAAAGAAATTATACCGGGTGGATTTTCTTAAACCTGTTCAAAAAAGTAAAACACGAAGGTAAAGTTTTAGTCTTTATCAGTATGGATGTAGTATTTTTCAACATTTTTTTTGAAGCCATTGTAATGGATTCTTAAACAATAAAGTGTTTAACTTGAAGTAGAAAACAAATGTGTTCTCGTTTCTTTCTTCGTCTTGTTTTATATTTTCTTAAATTTACAACAAGCAGCCCTTGGTCGATGACCACCGTCGGCGATGGCGTGATATGAAGTCGAGGATACCGGGTGGGGATAACGGAAGGGATGTTACAGCAAAACCAAACCACACAACAACACTTTGCGCACACTAAGCAGGGATGCATTTTGCTTTGTATAAACATGCAGAATTTTACGCAGCCATAAAATTATGCACAATTTCGTACAATTTGTGCATAGTTACGCACAATTTGTGCATGATTACCATGATTATGCACAAAGAATACATGAGAGAGAGAGCGGGGGAGGGGGGGGGGAGACAAAAAGAGGGATTCTCGCACACAGCGTGTACGGGTGTTCAATTCAGCTAGCTAGTTCACAAATGCAAAAGCTTTGAACAAGTCTTTGCAAACGCTCAACGACTCTCTACGCAACTATTTTGCACGGCCGCGCGAGTCTTCTTTACGCTCGCATATATTTCAGAACAGTACGCAGTCCAGATCCGCGACTGGCTAGGCTAGCGGAGGACAGAACGATATGACGTGGCGGCCGCAACATCAGGGCGCAGTCAGCCTCCTGTAGCGAGCTGCTTTTTGACCCACAAGCTGCAGGGAGGCAGGCAGGAATGCCCCCTAGGAAAATCCCGCGCAGGTGAGGGCGTTAGTGGGGAAGATCCCGCGGGGACGCGCCAAGGGGCGATCCGGGCCGCTTTCATTGGCGGGGAGGTCCCGGGCGGCCGGCAGGCCGGGGGGAGCCCCCCTCGGACACACTCGACGGACGCCTCTGGGGCAGCCCCTCTGCCGCCGACCAGGGCGGCGACGACTCGGGCGGGAGTCCAGGTCCACTCCACGAGCGGACAGTCCGCTGCGGACTAGCGGACAGTCAGTGAGGTACCTCCGCAATGCCCTTTACAACCTTTGAAGCTAATTCCAGGCGTTGACATTATTTGATCGTTTACTTGTATTTTTTTTATTTTCTTCAAATTTCCCGCTGGGTTTTTTCTCCCACCCTTGTGACGACGACCGGGGCTTCTCTCCCTAGCGCCCGAAGGGCTCCGGTCCAGCTGCCGCGGCCCACGAACAGCATCTCCTCGAGATGAGATAAAACGCTTTCACAAAATGCAAAAGGGGCGTAACTCTCTATGGGGCTGCGGTTGGGCCCGGCGCGCCCGGCCCAGCGCGCCCGATACAAACGTATCATCACAAGTCGTAAAATACCGGTACTGTATCGAGTGCATTCCGACCAATAGGACACACTCTTGAAAA